GAGGAGCAAGATCAAAAAAACTCAAAACCCAGCAGAAGATAAGAAATAACAAAGATCAGAGCTGAACTGAAGGAGATTGAGACACAAAAAACCCTCCACAAAATCAATAAATCCAAGAGCTGGTTTTTTGAAAAGATCAACAAAATTGACAGACCACTAGCCAGATTGATTAAAAAGGAAAACAGGGAACAACCAAATAGATGCAATAAAAAATGATAAAGGAGAAATCACTACAGATTCCACAGAAATTCAAACCATCATCAGAGAATATTACAAATGACTCTATGCACATAAACTAGTAAACCTGGAAGAAATGGATAAATTCCTGGACTCCTGTGTCCTCCCAAGCCTAAACCAGGAGGAAGCTGAAACTATGAATAGACCAATAACAAGGTCAGAAGTCGAGGCAGCAATTAAGAGCCTACCACACACAAAAAAGCCCAGGTCCAGACGGGTTCACAGCCGAATTCTACCAGACACACAAAGAGGAGCTGGTACCATTCCTTCTGAAACTATTCCAAATAATTCAAAAAGAAGGAATCCTTCCCAAATCATTCTATGAGACCAATATGATCCTGATACCAAAACCCGGCAGAGACCAAACGAGAAAAGAAAACTTCAGGCCAATAATAATGATGAACATAGATGCAAAAATCTTCAATAAAATATTGGCAAGCCGATTGCAACAGAAAATCAAAAAACTTATTCATCATGATCAAGTAGGATTCATCTTGGGAATGCAAGGCTGGTTCAACATACGCAAGTCTATCAACGTAATTCACCACATAAACAGAACCAGAAACAAAAACCACATGATTATCTTAATTGATGCAGAGAAGGCATTTGACAAAATTCAACAGCCCTTTATGCTAAAAACCCTCAATAAACTCGGTATCGATGGAACGTATCTCAAAGTAATAAAAGCTATTTATGACAAACCAACAGCCAATATCATACTTAATGGGCAAAAACTGGAAGCATTCCCTTTGAAATCTGACACTAGACAAGGATGCCCTCTTTCACCACTCCTATTCAATATAGTACTGGAAGTTCTAGCCATAGCAATCAGGCAAGAAAAAGAAATAAAGGGTATTCAAATAGGAAAGGTGAAAGGCAAATGGTCTCTATTTGCAGACGACATGATAGTATACCTAGAAGACCCCACTGCCTCAGCACAAAAACTCCTGAAACTGATAAGCAACTTCAGCAAAGTCTCAGGATATAAAATCAATGTGCAAAAATCACAAGCCTTCCTCTACACCAATAACAGACTTAAAGAGAGCCAAATCAAGAACGAATTGCCATTCACAATTGCTACAAAAAGAATAAAATACCTTGGAATAACACTCACAAAGAATGTAAGGGACCTCTTCAGGGAAAACTACAAACCACTGCTCAATGAAATCAGAGAGGACACAAACAGATGGAGAAACATTCCATGTTCATGGTTAGGAAGAATTAATATCGTAAAAATGGCTATACTGCCCAAAGTAATTTACAGAATCAATGCTATACCCATCAAGCTACCATTGACTTTCTTCACAGAACTGGAAAAAACAAGCCCATTCAAAATTGGGCAAAGGAGATGAACAGACACTTTACGAAAGAAGACATATATGAGGCCAACAATCATATGAAAAAATGCTCATCGTCACTGGTCATCAGAGAGATGCAAATCAAAACCATATTGAAATACCATCTCACGCCAGTTAGAATGGCGATCATTAAAATATCTAGAGACGACAGATGCTGGAGAGGATGTGGAGAAAAAGGAACACTTTTACACTGTTGGTGGGAGTGTAAATTAGTCCAACCATTGTGGAAGACAGTGTGGCGATTCCTCAAGGCCTTAGAAATAGAAATTCCATTTGACCCAGCAATCCCATTACTGGGTATATATCCAAAGGAATATAAATCATTCTACTATAAGGACACATGCACACGAATGTTCATTGCAGCACTGTTTACAATAGCAAAGACCTGGAATCAACCCAAATGCCCATTCATGATAGACTGGACTGAGAAAATGTGGCACATATACACCATGGAATATTATGCAGCAATCAGAAATGATGAGTTCGGTTCACTTGTAGGTACATGGATGAATCTGGAGAACATCATACTCAGAAAACTGACACAAGAACAGAAAATGAAACACCGCATATTCTCACTCATAGGCGGGTGATGAAAAATGAGAACACATGGACACAGAGAGGGGAGTATTAAACACTGGGGTCTATTGGGGGGAAAAGGGGAGGGCCAGTGGGAGGGGGAGGTGGGGAGGGATAGCCTGGGGAGAAATGCCAAATGTGGGTGAAGGGGAGAAAGCAAACAAAACACACTGCCATGTGTGTACCTATGCAACTGTATTGCATGCTCTGCACATGTACCCCAAAACCTAAAATGCAATAAAAAAAACAACTTACAACACTCATATCTTTGTTTTAACATATGGTTTTTATTTCAGAAATGTTTAATTTGTGTGTCCTTAGTTAATTTAATGAGGCTTTACCAGAAGAGAATTTTGTAAAGAAATAAGAATGGGTTCTCTTACAACTTCCCTGTAACAACTGGAAGAACCTTTGTGCCACTGCCCTTTGAAAGTCTGATGCCTCTTTCAAATTAGCTTTTTGTTCACCCATTCACTGGCCCACCCCACACAGAGCTCTGATCAGTATCTTCTGGACTATTTGGAGGAGCTTGGTGCTTTATCAGGTGGGATTCCTGATCAGCATTAGGACTGATTAAAAGAAAGAAATACCAGACGAAACAAAGAAAGGAAAACAGAACAAAAAGAAAGAATGTTTCTGAGCCATCTTTTCAACTTTCTTTATGTCACCAGAGAGAAGCATTTAACGCAAATTTCAACAATTACAGTAGGCTAAGAGAGCTTAGAAACTTTATTGTTTTGACATAAAACATCATTACCTTAGTACGAAGAGTTTAGATCAAATTGCTTTTTTGGCCTCTAAAGAGAGACTGTTGTCAACATCTCTTTTGCAGAAAAAAAAAGCAATTCCCTGTGTCAGATTACTAGTCTTTTTTATATTTACATCCAGTGTATAACCATGTGTGTGGAAGCTTAATAAGTGGATTAAATCTGTTTCTGAAGTAATGTTTCTGATAAAGAATATTTTAAGATAGGTCTTATATTGTAATTATTTCCAGTTTTTTTTCCTGTGATGAGAAAATAACAGACATAGACAGTTAATTTCTAAAGACAAGGTTTTAGCATCCAACTTACCTGACAAGAATTTCCTTGTCTCCAAGTCCCTTGCAAAGTTGCATATGCAATTCTTCAATCTTCAGCCTTGGGCTTCTTTTGAAACACAGACTCCCTTTGTCTTCTCTCTCCAGGAACTCTTTCTGGACACCTAAGGAATAATATAATGAAACATAACCAATCAAAATCAGGATATGATGGAAATGATTTTAAGCAAAAATATTTCTCAAACTTTACACTGTGTAAAGGGCTTAGCATATTCCAACCTCGTGTTTCTCTTCCTCGGGAGAGAAGCCACGTTTTCCTCCGATGGTTCTCAGAAGAACAATGATACCTGTACCTAATGTTTAATTAATATTAAAAATAAATTTCCTCTCTTCAACTTTCTTGCTTAAGTCCTTGAAAACTTAGCTATGTCTACTCAATACAGCATAAGACAACTCTATTTCGTTAACATATATGCAACAGAAATTCAAAAGTAACAAACTCAATATACTCTGTAGTACTTTACCTGTAAATCACCATATACCTGATGGAATAAATGAATTCTGGAAAATTATTTTAAAGCATTATCTCAACCTTTCTTAGTTGTCCATAACTAGGATTTTCTCAGAGCATTTCAGGTTTCATAACTTATCACAAATGACTTCCACAGCTGAAGTGTTCAACTTGGGACTAACTACACACATCGTTTGCCCACATGTAAGCATGTGCATTCATCTTTATGTAAACAAATAATTTCTAAGCTTCTGAAACAGCAGAAGGAAAAGGTCTCACACATCCGAAAACCTAGAGAATGTAAAACCAACTAAAATGTCTTATTAAAGATCATTTAGAATTAATTCACTGAAAATTCACATCCTGTTTGTCAGAATACATCTACCATTCCAAAGACCATATACAAGCATGTCAAAGAACTCTAAGTACACGAGTATTTGCAGCCAATAAGTGAGAAACCTCCACCAAGCACAGCACATTCTATGCGTAGATTGTGTAATTCCCACATGCAGACCACGGTCCCTTAGAGAGTGGCAGAAAAGGAGGCCCTGCTTCCAAAAATTACTCGGACAGCTGAGATCAAGAAACATTCCCAAGCTAGATTGCATACCAAATATTTCTAAACAGAATGACATTAAACTACAAAGATACTAAATTTTTCTTACATGATTGATAGTTCACTTGTTTATGATACTAAGCCCACTGTTATTTCATACCATGACTAACTCATACCTTGTAATCTGTCCTAGGTAACCAAGAGTCAACTAAATTAGTCATTCAAACACAGTAAATTTATGAATTATTAATCTGTTCCTTTTTATTTTGGCAATCAGTGTGTTTTCATTTTCTTAGGAATATAATTAGGAAGAAAAATGAAGATGATATCCAGAAATGACTTTTAATTGCAGACTCAACACCTACAATTCTTACTTCCAAAGAACAATACCAAGACTTGCTCCTCCAAATATCAATCAGCACCCCTAATCAGTGGCATCCACTGAGTGCCTATGAAAATAAAGAATTTCAGGCTCACCCCAACACAGGAATTACAATCTGTCTTTTAACAAGAATTCTAAGTAGACGAAATACACATGAGTTTAAGGACACCACTGGAGCCTCTCAAGTGGTCATGAGGATGGGAGGGCTGGGTCTCTCCAGCCTTTGATGTGCCACAGGACCAAGGCATCCTGGAGGAAATTGATTTTAGGTGTGCTGCACCTGTCTTGTTTCTCTAGGAGTGACCAACCTCAGTATGAGCACGTGATTATTGCACCTGCAGGTGGCAGCCAGACCCCACTACACTGAGGCTTTGAACACCACCAGAAAAAAAAAGAATGCAGGGCGCCGCAGCCCCAAACTGAGCCAAACGTTGATCAGCAGCAGAAAGTAAGTGGATTACAGAGAAACTGTGCTGGAGTGCACTGGCCACACTCGTGTCAGCATGTCCCACACAGACACACACACACTCCTCAACACACTCAGAAAGATACATGCATACACACACTCACACACACTCAGGAATACACAGGGAGGCATCCAACACTCGCATGGAAACCCACACTGCCAGGTAGCTCCTGAGGCTGCGGGGTTCTCCTCTCTTTCTGGAAATCCCTCGGGGACAGAGCAGCCCAGCCACAGGCCGGCAGTGGGTACCTGAAACTAATTCACTGGATTATCCCAGCCTGGAAATCCCAGTCAGGAGGGCTTTCAATGAGAGGCACCTTACCACTGTTTGGGCAGGCCTGAAGCCTCTTAGTGGTTCTTGGGGAGCGCCGTGGACATCCCTGAAATCCCAACAGATCTTTCTTCTGCCTGGTTTGACCTGCCGGATTCCTAAAATCGCAGGATGGTCACACGAAGAAAGGGTGCGTTGCCCAACGCTGAGGCACTGCCACGGAGGGCCCCTGCTTTGCTAAGTCACTGAGATCATTTTCCAGGCAACGGTGGCTGTCACTGTGATGGGAGCCGTGTCTCAACGCTGTGGCTTTTGACAGGCTATTTGCGCAGGCGCTTTTGCATGCCCAGCTGTGGAGCCACAATGTTGGCACTGTCCAGCTGATGCTGCCCATATGCACGAAGGAGTTGGTTCCAAGGGCAGCCCCCGAAAAGTCTGCATGCCATCACACCAGAGACACAGAACTTGGAATTGAGATTTTCTCCTGTGCTCCTTGCATCTCCTGGGAAAACCAATAATGATCCTTCCTGCGGCTTCAACATCCACATCTGTGAGAAAGCCGCTGGGGAGTGTGATATTTTCAAGAAGCCACAGTCCATGTTACCCCCTACAGAGCTCTGAACTTGTGCACTGGTGGGCCTGGCAGTGGTTCTCTCCCCAAAGTGTCTGAACTGCTCTCATGCTGGAGGGAAAAGAGGGGAGCAGCACAATGGACAGCCTCTGGATCTCAGGCCACTTTTCACAGCAACTTAGGAAATCAGGCTGCTGCCTGGGCTGGAGAAGCCACGATGCCCAGTAAAGACCCTGCGAGCATTTGGAGGAGGAAACCCAGCTGATCAGCGGGATATTGTGTGAGGACCACACACGTCCCAGTAGGACACGAGAAAGGTGCGCTTCACAGCGCTTTGCCCTGATCACTGCCCAACCTGGACCTTCTCCTTCTGTCCCTCTTTCGATGCAATTCCCATGGCAAGGAAGTGCAGGCGAACAGTAGCCAACATCGCTATGGAAGCGGCGAGGTCCACACTGCCCTGGCAACCCCTTCTGTGTTAACCACCTCCTCGCATTTCATCTGCTGGGATTCTAGTTTAGCCGTCTTGCCACCAATGGGCGGGGAAATTTTCAGAGGTACAGTTTCCAGCCCTGGGGAAAAAATGAGCCTCTCAGCTCTTTCTCAAGAACTGCACCCAGTCCCCGACCCCATGACATGCCGGGATTGTAGTTTTGAAGCGCTTTTAAACAACTGCGGGAGTAGTGAAGAGATCACAAGTCCCAGAATGCACAATCACAGATGACAACTCCCAGTATAACAGGTGTAGCTACCCCTCTCCGATCCAGGCCTTCCCTCGTCCAGAGCAGTTCTGCCATGCCAAAGGTCCCTGACCATTCCCAAACCAATCCTGCCTCTCACAGAGGGACAGGACTGCTGGTAATACCTTGTAATTACGCCATAACTCTCCCTAAAAAGCTGGCTTTATGCTCAGTCAGTGCCAGCAGTTTGATTTATCACTGAGCAGCAGGGGACCTGGAGCTGCTCACAAACCTGTCAGTTGCCATAGTAATGATCCTCCCTCTGTAGCTGAACTCTCTCCGTCCCCTTCCTTCACCCCATTCCTTCTCCTCCTTCTCTCCTTCCCTCTGCCCCACCTCATCCCCTTGGCCCTGCCTCTTCCCTTCCCTCAGCCTTTCCTCTCCCCTCAGCACTGACCCTTCTCCTCTCTCCGCCCCTAAAACTCTTTTTAGGACATGCGCAATGTAGTCCCTGTGTAGAAATGTGGCTACTGGCCAAGTGTCTGACAGTTCTTGGACTTCTTCAGATCCCACGCAGGCAGCTCCATCGTGAATGTCTGAAACCATCAGGTCATTGACAGAAATGAATATACATGGTCCCTGAACCTAGCACTTGCTTTTTCAAAGCAAACAATTAGTCTATTATCTAGGCTGTCACAAATCCTCCTACGGACCCCAAGAGCACCCTTTGGACCTCGAGACTTCATCATGGCCCACTACTGGGTTAGGCCTTGAAGAGGGACGCTCCTGACACTCTAATAAAATGTAGAAAATGTCACAGTGAAAAGCCTGACCCTGCTGCATCCAGTAAGGAAACAGCCACAGGGAAGGGAGCCCCTTAACCACTTTGGGAGCCACATTTACCCCTTCTTTTCTTCAACCCAGGCTGGTTCTCAAGCCTTGGGGTCCTAGTGTGGATCTCCAGTTAACGCAGGTGCAGGATCAGAGAACCCCTTGGTCCCTCCCAGCACGTGAGAGAAGTTTGTGTGGTGAGGTTATGAACAGTGTCTGTGTTTCTGTTGTCAACAGGGCTTTCTTGGAAACACGTTCAATTTCCCTTTTAAACTATTTCTTTAAAACTACATTTAATAATTTGCTGGTGGAACTTCATAATGATAATTTCTTGAATCCATTTCTTTTTCTTTTTTGAGACAGAATCTCACTCTGTGTCACAGGCTCTAGGATTTGATCTGGGCTCACTGCAACCTCTCCCTCTCAGGTCAAAGTGTTTCTCCTGCTTCAGCTTCTCCAGTAGCTGAAATTATAGGCAGATGGCAGGACGCCTGGCTCATTTTTGAATTTTTAGTAAAGGTGGGATTTCATCATACTGATTAGGCTGATCTCAAACTCCTGACAAGTGATCCACCTGCCCCGGCCTCCCAAAGTGTTGTAATTACAGGCGTGACCCAGCACTCCTGGCCTGAATGCATTTTAACATTTAGTTTTTCAGATTAACTGGAAGTACTGAAAGACTATGTGCTAATGAAACTAGAAGAGGCACAGCCTCAGCTCCATTCAGGACAGATGCACAAGAGCAGAATCTCAGTGGGTTGTCTTTCTGGAGCCTCAATATTACTGCAGATTTGGAAGAAGCAAATTTAAATAATTTCCAATTTAAGACACTGGATATTTAAGAGAAAACTGGAAAGTTATCTGCCTTTAATAATTGTCGGTCATCTGTGCCTAAGTCAGACGTTCTCCAAGAAAATAAAAGGAACTCTGAGGAGAAACTATTTTTCATTCTTCTAAGTAATTAATATTAGAACTCACAGAAAGTCAGTAGAAAGCCCTGCCAGTCTCCTAAGTTAAAATATGGCCTCGGAATGATTTTATTTGTGTTTTTTTGGGGGGGGTTTCTTGACATATTGGGTATAAAAACTGGGGGGATTTGACCGATTTTTGAAATTTTTTAGCTACCGTTTGGTAATGTACTTTGCACCTCATTTAACTTTTCTGTCCCCTCTTCAACTTGGACTCCATCACTTCACATATCTCTAAGACTCTTCATTTTCTTTAAGCTTTTTCACTCTTTTATTCAGAATGGACAATTTCTATTACTCTGTCTTCTGTTTCTAGTCTTTGAATAAGCTGAAAAGTATTTTTTAAAATTTCTTATCTTCTTGTTTCATAATATCCCTTTTTTCTTGCTGATGTTCCACATCTCTTAATCCATTGTTAGAATATTTTTCTTAACTCCCATGAACAGATTTATAATAGCTGCCTTTAAACCTCCTGAATCATTCTTCAATGGTACACAACAGAATTGGGAGTCTCTATAATGATTCCTTACAGTTTTAGCACACAACTTTAAAATTGATACGACATGTGAAGAAACACAAAAATGTAATGTAATCCATACACGATTTAAAAAGCAGGCAGTAGAAGTGGCCCATGAGTGGTCCCCATTTTCACACCCTTCCATGCTGCACTACTGCCAGGCCACTAGGGGTGAGGGATGTGCACAGAATAGCACTGGAACCTGAATCGGGCACTGGGCTCTAACGAGGAGGTGTGGGAGTTGTGTCTCAGAAACCTTCTACACCAACGCTTTCTGACAACAGACAGACAAATGGAGGTCCTGTATAGAACAAAAATGCTTGGACACAGGAGCTGCCTGATGAGGGAGGGCCCCAATTTTCCTCTCCCACCAAGGGCACCAGCAGAGGGAAAGGCTTTGTCCAGCTCAGCCTGCAGCTCATGCAGTTTTGCAGTCATGCAGCTCTACAGTTTCAGCACTCAGGGAGCACAGACTGGCAGCTGCTCTGAAGCCTCCACCACTCAGAAGTAAAATGGGCCCGATCCTCCAGCTCACAAGGCAGGGGGAGGACTGTGCCGCTCACACAGGAGGAGGCTTGCTGAGATGGAAGGGCTGAATCCAGGGCTCTCTCCTCCCAACACTCAGGATCCTGATCCTTGACGTGCCTGCCCCAGGCTCACCCCGTCCACAGTCCTTCATTGCTGTTTCTAGCTTCACCAGGTCAGTGAGACACCTGCCCAAAGAGGGCACATCACCCTGGGCCATTGTAGTGATAGTGGTGGTGAGTCCCCACTGTCAGGTGCCCACTCAAGACCTGTCTCCTGAAATCTCACCAACCCCTCCTGCCTATACACTCCCTCCCCAGGTCTCCTACTTGAAAGACCCCAGGACCCTCAGCTGCCTCCCCCAGTACTCTCCCTACTCTCCATGTCTCCCCATCTGGTCTCCAAGGCCAGTAGACATCCCTAGTTACTTCCATGGTGGGATTTTAACAAGTTATAAGGTCATGGAGTCCCCTGTCCTACCGTTCCCCAAATCTACCCTGAGCCCAGCTCACCCAGGTGGTTTCTCTGGTCTCTCTAACGGAGGCATTTTAGGCTCTGTGACTACATTAGGGAAGGGCTGAGGGAAGAAGACTCCCTGCTCACTTGATGTGGAGGCCTCCAGCAGGGAGGGAAGAAGCCTGTTTTTGACTCCCTGGAGCCCCTCCCCAACACACATATACTCACCTGCTGCTCCTACAGCCTTATCTGGGTTGTCTGGGGATTCTTCTCTAGCATGGGCAATTTGGAGGTTCCCACCTGCCAGGGTCTGGGACAAGGTGAGGGAGACTATTCTTTCCTCCCCTCACTCAGTTATACCTCAAATCCTAGATTACTGGCCTAAGCCAACTGTGGCAATGCTCCCACCCCTCCAGTGAGCCCTGATCCTAGATTAACTCCCAGCTCCAACACGCACTGTCTGTGTCACCCTGGGCAGGTGGCTGGGCCCCCCTGAGACTGTTTCCTCATCTGGGAGGTGTGATGGAAACCACACCTTCCTCACAGGGCCTCCTGAATACTCAGTTTCATGTGGCTCTCAGCGTTTCTCTCACCATCATTGTTCGTGGAACGGGCCAGGTGCAAGCAACCTCAAATTCTCTTCCTCCCTGAACCCCATCATCATCTTGTGACAACTGCAAACCAGGCTCATCATTTGTACATTTGCCAAATGAGGAAATAGAGGCCCAAAGATGGCAGTGAGTTGCCCAGAGCCTCACAGGAGAGGATGGCCTCTCCCACACTTGGAGGCTCGGTCCCAGCTGCCTTCACCCCACACTTCGGCACCACCACTGTACAGGGTCCCATTCTCTGGAGTCTAGGGGTGTCCACATTCCCATCCAGACCCAGCTATGGTGGGAGAGGGAAAAGGTGTCTTGGGGGACCTGGTTGAGCAGCAACTATTTGTCACAGAACCACTGGAATCTCTGCTCCACATGCCAGGCTTTATGTTAGACCACAGACCTCACTTACCTCATGATGTACCAAGGGAGTTCCCTGCACAGAACCCTCTCTTTCTCCACTCAGAAGGTGTGGTCACCCAAGATGCCATTTCAGACTGACAAAACAGGGTTTTCCTAAGGTACTGGGTGGTGACATGTCACTTCCTCATTTCCAGGGAAGGTTCTGAAATCAGGTCAGGAAGAATCCACAGAGAATTCAAAAGTCTCCAGGTACTTATACCATCTGGAGCTTTTAGGAGTACTCACTGGGCACTGGGGTGAGAATCCCACAACTGTGACTGATTACCAGTGTCTGCAAAGGACAGAGTGGGGAGCCACAGCAAACATATATATATCCACATCATATTTACCAATGGAGACTCATCTGGCAGATATTCCTCTGCTGTCCCCATCATTGGTACAGACAGAGTGACCCTCCCTGTATAGGTGCAGTACAGGAAGAAGCAGTAACAGAGGCCTGGCTTCCTATGAAATTGCTGGGCTAGTCTGGGGAAAGAAGGAAGCCCCACCTACCACACCCACCTCACAGCCTGCAGGAAGTCCGTGCTAGCAGCATGGATCAATGTGGGAATCAGAGCACTGATCTTTCTGTGTCTCATCATGCCTGCTCAACAGCCCAGCTGCCATCAGCACATCCAATTACTGGGGTTGCCTGTCCCCAAACTTTCCACCTGCCCACAGGCAAACACATGACTTTCATTTAATCTACTCTATACAGGGCTGGAGGTTTTCAAGTAAACGTTTAGTAAAAAAGACATATACACACACACACACAAGTGTGCACACCCTCACACCTGGTCCAGTACCCCTTCCAGCCTAATCTTTTTCTCTGCCCCTGAAAACCCCTGACACCCACCTCCCATCTCTACTTTTTATTGATGTGCAAATCCTACTCAGGGTACTGTCTTTTCTGAAAATATTTTAAAATTTTCTGGAGCTTTTTCTGAGGAGAGGAAAAAGAAGGAAAGATTCAAGAAACAAGAAGGTAAAAGAAAAAATCATTTGGGAATAACAAGCAGATGTGTACATTCAATTTTCTTTTGAGAACCGAAGTGATCAAACTGCCTGGATGAGAACGTCTATGCTGGTCCCCTAAACCCTTAGGGCTCCATGGGTCTGGGAAAGGAGCTCTGTGGAGGTTAAAGCAATTTTGCATTGGATGCAAATCCATCATGTTTACTTCGGAGTAACCCCAATTCTGGAAATGCCTTTAAGATTTCCACCTGTTCTCCTGTTTCTTGTGTAAGAGCACATACCTACTGCTAATCTTCTCCTTAGGTCAAAGCAACCTGGATGTATTATGCAAATTACAGGCTACAATGGGCACATCCTTCTCTTCCTGGAAGGCTGACTTTAATTGTCCTGCACAATCTGAATACAGCATATTTTCTCTTTTCCTATACTAAGTAAGCCCTAAATCTTGGGGTAACTGCCTGGAGAACTACTTAAGTTGCTACCATTCAAGATCATGCTTCTGTTCATGAATTCCCCACAATAAATTACCATTTACTAAAAAATTGGATTTGTCTGTCTCATTCTTTGATTTCTTGATGCCTTCTGTGTTGGGGAATCCCTTTGAAGATATGGCACTTTTTATATTACTAAAATAAAGGAAGATATATTAGTCCATCCTCACACCGCTAAAAATAAATACCTGGAACTGAGTTTCCTTGGCTCACAGTTCCACAGGCTGTACAGAAAGCAAAGTGCGTTCTGCTCAGCTTTGAGAGAGGCCTCAGGGAGCTGAAAATCATGTTGGAAAGGAAAGAGGAAGCAGAGACATCTTTCCTGGCTGGAGCAGGAGGAAGAGCGAGAGGTGAGAGGTGAGACACACATTCAAACAACTAGATCTTGTGAGAGCTCTCACTATCACAAGAACAGCATGGGAGCAATGGTGCTGAACTACTCATGAGAAACCACACCCATTATTCAAACACCTCTTACCAGGCCTCACCTCCAATACTGCAGATTATTATTAGATTTGAGATTCAGGTGTGGACACAGATTCAAACTATACAGTGGCTTGTGGGTATGTCTGGATTTTGCTAATCACAGCTGTTGGCAAAACTTGTGTCTGACTTAACCCATCATGCCCAGGAATGTTATGGTGCCCCCTGGTCCCTGGACTTTCTGGGCCCTGGCCTATCCTCTGGATTGTAAATGCTCTAGGAGTTCTGGGTAGGTTTCTGCAAAATACTTAAGTCTGTGGAGAGTAAAAGAATATTATCCATACAGTGTTCCTAGAGAATGAGGGGTACATCACTCCAAAATGTCTCACTTCACTCTAAAACATGCCAGAGAGGTGGGCTGTTGGGCTGAGTAACTTTCACTGGGAACAACTAAAAGTTACACTGTTGTTCTTCTCAGCTGAAGGCAAAAAGGTCCTGGGACTTTGAGTCTAAACTTATGCTGCAGAAATCATTTGCCAACGGCAGGACTGTCCCATGGACCTGAGCAACTACTTAGTTTTTCCAGGATTTGAGCCATTTGGGGGATAGCAGCACACATGGCCAGAGTCACCTTATTCAGTTCCCAAT